GGGCAGTGTCACTGGCCCTCATATGTGGGATCCGAACCGGGGCCCTCTGGTGTCCCAAGCCAGTTCTTAACCATCGCGCCACTCGGCCGGCCCCCACATTTTATTTATTGATGGACGTTTGGGTTTCTACTTTTTGGTTATTATGAAGAGTGCTGCTATGAATATTCATGCACAAGTTTTTGTATGAACATATGTTTTCATTTCTCTTGAGTATATGCGTAGGAGTGGGATTGCTGGGTCATAGGTTTAGCTTTTTGAAAAACTGCCACACTGTTTTCTGCAGTAAGCGTACCATTTTGCATTCCCATCAGCAATGTATGAGGTGGGATGTATGAGCAATGTATGTTTCACCACATCCTTGCCAATGCTTGTCATTGTTCATTTTGTTTTTTTGATTACAGCCATCCTCGTGGATATGAAGTAGTATCTCACTGTGGTTTTGATTTGCATTTCCCTAGTGACTAATGATGGTTAGCATCTCTTCATGTGCTTATTGGAGATTTGTATATCTTCTCTGGAAAAATATCTAGATGCATTTAAACATTTTGAAATGGGGTTATTTGTCTTGTTGAATTGTAAGAGTTCTTTATTCTAGATACTAGATCCTTTTCAGGTACATGATTTGGAAATATTTTCTCCCATTTTGTAGGAGGAACTTTATAAAACTACTAATTCCTCAATCCTAAGTCAAATCTGCTGAATCAGATCTATAAGTTAAAAGAAAAAAGTTTTTCAGGTGATTTTGATGACCCACAAGGTTTTGGAATAATCCAAACCAGGGCTTCTTAAACTTTAATATGCATACAAGTCACCTGGGGATCTTAATAAAATGTGGATTCTGAGGGAAACAGAAAATCACCCTTAGAATGCTACAGTAGTAACTGTTGCAAACATGATCCATTGATGGATGCTAAAATTAGTGGGCAAAAACTTAAGGAGAAATAAGATATCTGCATATCACTAAAGTATTTCTTCGAAATTATTGATTACAAAAGTAAAGACAATAGCTTTACAGTGGAGAAACCTGGCAGATGCCACCAATACCAAGTGATCGAGGTTAACAGGGTCAGTCATAAGACATACTGACATCATGTGCCCCCTGATATAACACATCACCTCTGTGGTAAAGCTGTCTCCCCAAAATTGATAGCTTCAATCTAATCATGAGAAAATACCAGAGAAACTCAAATTGAGGGACATTCTACAAAGCATCTAACCAGTACTCTGTAAAAGTGTCAAGGTCAAAATAAGACAAGACTGGGAAACTGTTACAGATTGGAGGAGCCTCAGAGACATGACCACTAAATAGAATGTGGTATCCTGGATTGAATCCTAAACAGAATAAAGACACTGGTGAAAAAAAGGGGAAATCCAAATAAACTGTAGTTCAGTTACACAGTATTGAACCAATCAGTGTTAACTGTTCAGTTTTGATAATTGTACCATGGTTAAGTAAGATGTTAACGTTAGGGAAGGCAGAGGGAAAGGGTATGGAAACTTACTGCACAATTTTGCAATTCATCTGCAAGTCTAAAATTATTTCAAAATAAGGAGTTTGAAAAACATGCAGATCCTGATTCTGTAAGTCTGGTTGGACGTCCTCTGCCTTGCTAACAAGTTCCTGGGAGAAGCTGCTGCTGCTGGTCCACAAACCCCACACTGGGTAGCATGAGTCTAGACCAGTGGTTCTCACACTTAACCATCACCTGGTAGGGCTGGGGGTGGGTTAACAACAGATTGCTTGGCTCCGCCCCCAGAGTTTCTGACTCAGTAAGGGGTGGGGGCCCAATAATTTGCATTTCTAACAGGCTCTCAATAATGATGTTACTGATGAGCTAAGAATGGTTTTTATGCTTTTAAAGGGTTGAAAAGAAATTTTAAAACAGGACTATAAAACAGAGACTATATGTGGTGTTTAAATATTTATAAAAAAATGGTTCATGAGCCCTGGACCCTAGCTACTTAGAATGAAGACACTAATGCCTCAGAGATTCTTATTAGCTGATTTGGTATGAGTCCTTAGCATTGATATTTTTAAAATGCTTCTCTTTAATTCTGATGAGCAACGAGGTTTAAGAACTACTGATTTGAGCTCTCTGCTTAAACACAAAAAAAACAAACACACACACACACACACACACACACACACACACACACACACACACACACCCTGCTCCTCAATCATCCTAGAGTTGGGGATGAATCCATACCAATGTCAAAAAGAATTTCCGCAATTTAAAACTCACTCAAAAAGATGAGCTATTCTTTTGTGAATGTTAACAAAGCCCAAACATAAATCAGCATTTCCCCTTCTCACCTGGCCCTTCCCAAGTGCATATAAATGAACACTGGATTATACATCAAGAATAATCCCAAAGAATCCCACCCCACCCTCCCACCCCCCAAAAGTGGCAAGTGTAACTACCAGGATGGTATGAAATAGGTGGGCTGGAGTAGAGAGATGGACCAGGAAAAAGGATCAAGGTGAGAGCAGCCCTGTGGGATGGCTGATAGGTAACAGGGCACAGAGTGCTAGAGAGCTGAGGGAAGAGGAGGAAGGTGCAGGGCTGAGAAATGGGGTGGTGCTGAGGTCCCCAAAGAAAGTACCTTTACCTTCATCACAATCCCAACAAATGGCAGTTTCCCATGTGAATGTAATTAGGGGCAAGGGTCCCTCTAATATTTGGCAAACCGCTTCACACTCTTACTCTTTGCCTAGTACTCCTCTGCCAAAGAGAAAAGAAAGCTTTTAGCTACAGCCTGTTCTTCTCGCTCAGGGAACCTGAAGGCCTCATCTCAGCCCCAGTCGCTAAGCCTCCTCCAGGAGGCATCTAGCCCCTTCTGAGAACGGTCCGCGTCTGCGTTCATACCTGTGCTCTCCTCTGCCTGATTGAAGCCACAGATCTGGCAGATGCTGTGGACCCACTTATTCATGTCCTCCTCTGTCTCTGCCACGAGATAAAAGGTGCGCTCGCTGGTCTTGATGTCGAACACAAAACTGTCCTGTAGCTCCTTCTTGTTGAAGGTCAGGCCCGCATCCACCTGCTCACAGAAGTTGAGGTTGATGACCCTCAGTGGCTTTTTGGAGTGGTCGTTCTTGTAATATTCCAAAACATCCGGGTCCCCGCTCATCCGGCCACTGCGCAGGATAAACCAGCGTTTCTTCCAGGCCTGAGCAGGAAGGAGTAAGAAGAGGGGAAAAAGCCATTAGTTATAATATTTCAAAGCTTTTCACAGGTGCTCAGGTATCACGAGGTTAAGGATGGGGCCTGTTGGACCTGTAGGCTGAACATGGCCTCTATTTCCCTTTCATATTGTCCCCGAGTTTCAGAAAAGGGGACAATTTTAGAATCCGCATTAATGCAGCATATTTCACTATGGAAAAAGGGTCTTATCATTATGAAATGAGCTGTGGCATTCCCACTTTTTAGATCAGGAAGTTAGATGAGGACTAAAATACTTTAGAGCAATTATTCATTAGGCTAGAATACAGACTCAAATTCATTGTACTTTTTAGTCAGGGTGGAACTTGCAAAACCATCACAGCTCAGTTTATAGATGGGACCCCTCCCCCGCCCCCCACTAAGACGTGGTGAATTGAAGCAACCATGTCACACACAGCAAGTAGCAGAAAAACAAGTTTCCTAACTTCTAGTCCATTGTACTTTTCACCAAATCATGATGCCTTGAAAGAATCAGAGAGAAACCCTTCTAAAACTTCTCTGAAGCACATAATTTTAGGATGTTTCCCATCTCATTCATCGCTATGTCCCTAGTACTTATAAAAGAGCCTTGCATATACTGAGTTCTCAATGTGTATTACTGAATAAACGTGTAGCATTCCACCCTGTAGACTTTAACATTTGATTACACATTCCGTCTCTTCAACAAGACTGAGGAATCTGTGAGTAGGCATCTCACAGAGTGGTGAAAAGACGTGATGTGTAACAGAGAGCCCTGAGTTGAGTTTACGCTTTACCCTACTTGCTGAGTGATTTTAGAGTCACTCACTTCTTTGGATGTTGTCTCATTTATATAATGTGAGTGAACATTACACCTGGGTGGTGAACACACAATGTGATATATAGATGATGTATTACAGAATTGTACACCTGAGACCTATGTAACTTAACTAACCATTGTTGCCCCAATAAATTTTAATTAAAAAAGAGAAAAGAACATTATCACCACCACTGACCTACCTTATAGGGCTTTTTTTATGTAAGCCTACCCAAAGCACTTTGTACACAACCCGAATGTACTTCAAGAGCCAAGGACTTGGTTATTATCGTCCTTACCTAGAGCCCATTGGGACCTTCGTTCCATTAATCCTACCATCTTTTCTCTCTCCCCTTCTTTCCCTGCCCTCACTTCCCTCCCTACCCGATTTTGTTTCTGTGATCCTTCATTGTAATCATTCCCTTGCTTCTTCCTACACTGCTCTCATTTATCTGGGAAAACCATAACCTCGGGATAGCTCTAAGGCTCTACCCATTCCCACTCAGCTGTACGACGTGGTGGGACCTATGCTGACAGGTCTCCCTTTAAATTCGTTGCTGCCCAACGATTTATTGCATTTCCTTAGTCCACATCTTCCACCTGCTCTTTGGCAACAGTCCCTGAATTTCTCTCTCTTTACACCTCCAACACCTTCACTCCTTTGTTTATTATTTCATGAGGAAACATAAGCAATCCAAAGAGAATTTACACATTCCATCACCACTATCTGCCTAAATCCGTAGCAAAGTACTCTGTTACCAGGGAGCATGGACAGGTCCTCCAATCTACCGCCATCCTTCTTTCCCTTGTGCATTCTCTCTCACCCACATGGGGACATCGCTTTAACAACTTTCTCTCCCACTCTAGAATCACTGCGTTTTCCCTCCCTACTAGGATCATTCCCATCAGGACACCAACTTCTCCCATCTTAGGAAAAAAAATTTAAGAGACATGATCCCACATGTCTCTCCAACTAAGGCCCAGTTTTCTACTCTTTACAGTAAAACCTGAAAGAGTTTTCCACGCTACTAACCTTAGTCTCATCTCCTCCCATTTTCTTCTCGTTTGAAAGCCATCTAATCAGGCTGCACCCCCTCCCTACCCCTTCCACGAAAATAACTCAACAAACTCCCCAAAGACTTCAGTGCTGCTAAGTTAACTCTTGGGCCTTACTTGATCTCTCAGCAACATCTGATAACAATTTATTACTCCATCCTCTTTGAAGCACTTTCTTCATTTGGCTTCAGCGCTCACTCTCAATTTTCCTCCTATCTCCCTGGCCTCTCTCTTTCCCTCTCCAGTGCGGTTCCCTTCTCATCTCCCTGACCTCTAAACATTGGAATGCCCCAGCGCTCAGTTCTCAGACTTTCTCTTCTACATTCACTTCGTAGATTATTTTGTTCAGTGTCACAGCTTTAAAAGCCACCCAACTGCTGCAATTCCCAAGTGTATCTCTCCAGCCCAGACCTATCTGTTGAACTCCAGTCTTATATACAACTCTTCATTAGCAGGCATTTCAAATTTAATGTACTCAAAACTGAGCTCTTGATATCCTCCCATCTGCTTCCTCCGGCAGTCTTTCCCATCTCAGTGAACAGCAACTCCAGCCTTTTAAGTTGCTCAAGTAAAAAATTTGATGTCATCATCAACTTCTTTCTTTCACATTCCACATCTAATCCCACAGCAAATCCTGTTAGTTCAAACAGTTCAAAATACACCTACAATGTGGTCACTTGTCCACCCCTCCATTGTTCTTCACCTGATCTAGTCCACTGTTTTGTACTCTTCCTGCTTCCACCCTTTCATCCTGTAATCTGTTTTCAATACAGAAGCTGATGTAAATTAGATGTAAATCAGAATATTTCAATGTGCAAAACCTCCAATGGCTTTCCATCTGGCTCAGAGTAACCACCTCCTCACAAGGGCAAAGGGGCCTGATGTGATGGTCCCTCCTCCGCATCTCTCACCTCATCTCCTGCCTCTCTCCACCTTGCCCGTTCTGCTCTAGCCACACTGGCCTTAAACACCGGCCACACCATCCTGCCTCAGGCTCTTTGCGTTCCTTGCTCCCTCTGCCTGGAATATGACTCTCCCAAACATTGCCATTGCTTATTCTTTCCTTCAAGTCTCTATTCAAATGTCCCATTGTTCCTGACCACCCAACCCTCACACTCTTGCCCACTTACTCGGCTATACTGGTCTCACTAGCACTTATACCTCCTAAAATACCATATTTCTGTTGATTGTCTGCACCCACCTACAAAAATGTAAACTCCACGAGAGTAAGGATTGGTTGTTTTGGTTTTTTTTTTTTTACCCATTCTGCACCCTCAGTGTTTAGAACAGTGCCTGGCACATAGCTGGTTATCAATAAATATGTACTGAATTAATGAATGAATCATTTTCTTACATGAATTTCTTATAGCATCTAGTAGGTCATGGGGATTAAGACTGATGCCTAATAAGCTGTAGACTGAAATGAAGATTAGAATATAGCCAGACAGGATACAGCTGAGGAAAATAAAAATAAGTACTCTTTATTTATAGTCACCTAAAGTCTTGCCCAGGCCACTGTTTACGGAATTCTGGGTGTGCTTGTGTGCAGGTACATGCATATATATGTAAATATGTGGGTAAGGTGCATTTTAAAAAAGTATTGTTAATAGCTTAGCTTGTGTTCAGTTGGTGTATCCCCTTTGGCACGTCTCTGCAGAAAGAGCTGTTTTCAAATCACTGGTGCACAGGTGGAAGCATAAACACACACACACCCTCATAAACAACAAGAAGGTGTTTGCTGCAGATAACATCGGAGCCTGTCAGGTTCAGCCTCCAAGAAATGGTGCAGGCTGATAAATAGTGGCCTATAAAATGCTGATAAATTGATGACAGAGCAAGCAAGTCTGTCTCGTCTCATCCCAAATTCCCATCCCTCTTCTGCCACAATACCTCTACAAGGCCATGCACAATTTTTTTATTTTTGGAAACCAAACAATTCAGAACCAAGCAACTTCAAAGAATCTAGGGCCAATGACAGCTTCTCTGATCCCCTCAGGTGAAAGGAACCTCTACTTCTTCACACTTTTTATGTATTTTTCATGCATGTCATTTTTTATAGCATATTATAGATATTTTTGTATTTGTTTCTTCTAAAGTAGACTATGAACATCTCTTCCTATTCCTCTTGGAATCTCCATGGTAGGCAATTGCTAGATGTTACTAAACAATGTTCTGTATCACTGAACCTTTTTTATCTCTCTGACCTCATTTGTTTTCCTCCCTCCCATCCATCCATCCATCCATCCATCCATCCATCCATCCATCCATCCAATATTGATTTAGTGCCTATTATGTTACAGGCATTATTCTAAATGCTAAGGATACAACATGAATTCCTGGTCTTACAGAACTTACAGAAGCCTAACAAATTACTTGTTATGTGTCACATACTTGCATGACTTCATGTCTTTGCACAAGCTGTTGCTTCTTCCTAGAATGCACCTCACTTCATGTATCTGGAAAATTCTTATGCCCTCTCAGTGCCAGCTTAAGTATCATTTTTCCTGGAAGGGCTTTCCTAACTTCCCTAGGTAGATCTTGTGCTCCTGGCTTATGTTATCTTAACAACCTATGCTTTCTTTGGCTATTTATTCCCTCAAATTTGGCATTTCAATTGCTTATATGTCCTTCCCTCGTTTAAGCTCTGAGTATCTTGAGGTTAGGGTCCTTATGTGGCCAATAGTTACTTGGCAGAGTGCTCAGCCCATATGGAAACTCAGTCAAGATCTGTTGACTTTTTTCATTCAATAAATAGATTAGTTTATTCAAACTAATAAATGCAATTAAAAAAAATAAGATTCCACAATGGGAAGTCAGAAAGAAGGACAGCAAAAGGATTACAGAAAAGAGAATAAGAAAGAGGGGTATGCTGTGGATTCGCTACGATGTGAGTTCTTTAGCATCTTGTTCCCTTCATTCTGGCAAATGCAGTGACCACATAATAAATATTTATAAGGGAGTCTGGGAACTCCGGCTTGAAAGTGTCCCATGATACAGAAATGAAAAATTACTTTTGGATTACTGACACATAATGCAAAAAGAATAATGGGAACACGAGTCCTGAATATGATATTAAGGAGAACACTTTTTCAGGACTGTTCTTATATCTATACAAA